TCTTTCCCTGGTCGAACAGTACACGATGTAAATGCAGCAGTGTGGCTACTTGGCGAAGTTTTCTTTATTCGATATGCGGTATTGGAACGAAGTCCTTTATCGGTTAATCAATAATATAATACGTTTATCAATAATAATATACTACGCAAGGAACTTCGTTCCAACCGAGTGTTCCACGACACTCACGCATTTTTATATATAAATAAGTAATCATTATATCTCCTCAGTTTCAAGGCACTCCCCTTCTTGCCTCAGCCAGTATCGATATCCTCGGAGTCGAAATATCGAGTGACGTGCAGTTTCGTGGTCACTTGGAAGGGAAGGCCAAATTGGCCTCTAAAAAGCTTGGCGTGCTCAGCAGAGCGGGACAGTATTTCATGCCGGCACACCGCCTGCTACTTTACAAGGCGCAAGTTCGGCCTCACATGGAATACTGTTCCCATCTCTGGGCAGGGGCTCCCCAGTGCCAGCTCCTTCCACTTGACCGCATCCAACGCAGAGCGGCTCGAATTGTCGACGACCGAGCCCTTATCGATCGGGTCGATTCATTGGCACTGCGAAGAGATGTTGCATCCCTTTGCATTTTCTTTCGCATCTACCATGGGGAGTGCTCTGAGGAATTGTTCGGATTAATCCCAGCCGCCAAATTTCACGAACGCACATTGCGGCAGAACTTCCGATACCATCCACACCATCTGGATGATTGGCGGTCCACCACTGTGCGATTTAGAAGATGTTTTCTTCCTCGCACGACCTCCTTGTGGAATCGATTACCATCAGCGATTTTTCCGGACCGATACGACTTAGGGACCTTCAAGAACAGAGCGTACTCCTTTTTAAAAGGCCGGCAACGCATCTGCGATTCCCCTGGTGTTGCAGTTGTTCATGGGCGGCGGTAGTCAGTTACCATCAGGTGAGCCGCATGCTCGTTTGCCCCCTCTCCTATAAAAAAAAAAGGACACTGGATGATATGAGCTGGCAACTCTACTTAAGACACCTACGGGACGAAAAATATAGAATAACAGATATGTCCTTCTTTCTTCCATCAGTCCGTACAGTGCACTGGTACATTATATGGACTTTTACGTTATATTTATTTATTTTTATTTTTTAGAAAAAGGGTGAAAAGCGAGCACATAGTTCACCTGATGTTAAGTGGATGCTCTGGTCCATAGACATCTAAATCTATTCCCGATTTAGCATCAAAATACAAATGCGTGAGGACTAAAATGGAATGTCTCGTTTTCAGTAAAAAGGGTCTCTAGTTCTCTCCATTCACCATACGAAACAGCAGCGTTAAGCTGCTATTTTACGCTGGTATTCTGTGAGAGCGTGGTCCTTCCCCGGTCGAGCCGAGCCATTCGTACTACAACTATACTTCTAATATAGCTGCAGCATGGCTCTACCATATATAAAAAGTTTTCTTTACGCAGCCACCACACAAAACTGCATTGATGTGTTAGTTCTTCGAGAATATATAATATATCACCTATATAATATAATTTATTTTATGTTTTAATTATTAAATGTACAATTCGAAAATAATTAGACATTGATTTCCCTCTAATACAATTAATGCCTTAATTCCATCGCACCCTCGAAACGTCCCCGGACACGTTTTTAATTAAAATAACAGCTGTGCCAATTAAAATTAAACATTTTTATTATTTATTGGCTTTATGATACTATTTGTTAAAATATTGTGATGCAATGTTTTTTTGAAGAACTGGCAAACAAGCATGCGGCTCACTTAGTAAATGATCAACGCCGCCGTTTTGAAAGCAGTAGGTTCTATTCTTAAAGGCGCGTAGCAGAGAATTTCTCTTAAAATTCACGATAGTATTATTTAGAGTTCTGCCACAGTTCTGCCAGTGTATGATGGTGGGAGTTAGCAGCTGGAATTTACCCGAACAATTCCTCAGAGCACTACTGAATAGTATTAGAAATATTTATAACATAAATAATAATAGATCATCCAATGAATGTAAAATTCGTTCCTTCTAAAACTATAAAACGAAAATTGTATTATAGTAGGCTGATTGAAAATTGCATACAGAATTACCACATGAATGTTAACTATGTAGTATGTAGGTAAATATATATTATTTTTAAAGGATGTGCCTTTTACGAATCCCGCCGCATTTTTTTTGTTGTTGATTGTAAAGTAAGAAAAATGCAAAATTTTTTGACAATGATAGAGTCTCTAACCAAAATTATGTAGAACCGTAGTCGCTTAGGGGTCAAAACACTCTTTTTTTTAATAAAATTTAATAAGGGTGACAAGCGAGCACAAAGTCCACCTGATGGTAAGTAGTTGCTGCCATAGACATCTACGTCTATCTTCGTTTGCGAATTAAAATGCAGATGCGTTGTCAGCCGTGAGGACTAAGATATTCTATCGTGAGGACTGAACTGACTAATGAAATGCCTCTTTTCCAGTAAAAAGGGTCTCCGGTTCTCTACACTTACCATACGAGACACAGCAGCATAAAGCTGCTATATTACGCTGGAATTCTGTGAGAGCGTGGTACTTCCCCGGTCGAGCCGTCCCATTCGTGCTACAACTATACTATTAATATAGCTGCAGCACGGCTCTACCACGTAAAACAAACACTCGCCGCAAATTTAACAGTTTGCGAGCAACCCTGGTTTGATCCTCGCCGGCACACCATAAAATTATAATACACTAATTCACTTTTTTTATTGAAATGGGGGTGACAAACGAACACACAGTGAAGGTAAATGGATGCTGAGGCCCATAGACATCTACATCTATCCTCGATTAAGAATCAAAATGCAGATGTGTTGTCACACGTGAGGACTAAGATGGAATGCCTACACTAACCATATGAAACAGAACAGCGTTAAGCTGCTATTTTACGCTGGTATTCTGTGAGAGCGTTGTCCTTCCCCGTTCGAGCCGATCCATTCGTTCTACAACTATACTACTAATATAGCTGCAGCATGGCTCTACCACGCACAAAACAAGCAAAAATGTTTCCTATTGAAGGAGAAATTATAAATGTCCTCTGACACAATTTCAGTCAGCGGAGACGGTATTACAGTTACCATGTTGATGTGCAAGCACAGGTGTACACTCTATTTCCTAATGTTCATAGTCCTAACAACTGGACAGAGATCAGATCATGGCCTGCTTACGTGCTTTCCGACGGTTATGGCACGGGGGTGGTACACCGCCAACTTCCTGATACTAGACTGACACTGAAAATTTCTTGACAGGCAAACCCAATAACTGCTTTTCTCCCGACCCGGAATTCGAATCTAAGTACCTTATGATCAGTAATCGTGTTTACGAACTCTAGACCTACGAGGTAATCATATATGTGTTAGCTTGCGACACGCAGAGGACGAAATAGACTGAGGGATTCTCTTACGCCGTTACAAAACGGCATCAAAAAAATTAAATTGAGAACCCCCGCCCCCCCCCCTCTCATCCACAGTCTGCACTCATAGTTACCCTGCATGTTTGATATATTTTTAAAATACAGTAAATAGCCGAGAGTCCGTCTGATGGTATACGGCTTCTATGCGATAGAGCCAAGCTGTAGTAGTATTATTCTTGCAGCTGAATGGGTCGGCTCCAGGACGGCTCGATCGAAGGAGGACTACGGTCACTCAGAATACGTTTGTACGTGGTAGAGCCACGCTGCAGCTATATTAGTAGTATAGTTGTAGCACGAATGGGTCGGCTCGACCGGGGAAGAACCACGCTCTCACAGAATACCAACTTAAAATAGCAGCTTAACACTGCTGTGTTTCGTATAGGTGAGTGTAGAGAACCGGAGACCCTTTTTACTGGAAAAGACGCATTCCATCTTAGTCCTCACGGGTGACAACGCATCTGCATTTTGATTCGCAAACAAGGATAGATGTAGATGTCTATGGGCCACAGCAACCACTTACCATTAGGTGGACTGTGTGCTCGTTTGTCATCCTATCCTATAAAAGATACCAGCGTGAAATAGTAGCACAATGTTGCCAAGTTTCGTATGCTGAGTGTAACTACAAAGGGATATCCTTTTCCTTTTAACGAGGTAGTTCACCTCAGGGGTGTCATTTTTTAAATCGAGGATAGATGTGGATGTGGGCCATGGTTCACCATGAACATATATGATGTTCACCATACTCCGCTTTAGCAATTAAGGTCACTTTTGGTAATGTAAAGAAAGATAGCTTGCGAATTGGTTTATACTCTTAATTTTTAAAATAAGGCAAGTAAAAATCTGACAAAGGTTCAAAAATAGTTCTGAACACTATCCACTAAACTTATGAAGAATATAAAACGAAAATCCTATCTTACACGTGTCGCGACACACATGTATATTTTTTTATAATATGAGTTTCTCCCTGAATGGATAAACTAATCTTGATTAGTTTAGGCTTTCAGGATAAAACTGTAGTCAGTATTCCTGACACTATCATGCTAGGAGTGGGCCTATTTCATTATATAAGTAGACTTTTATACTTGAAATAACGTTTAAAAATATAGAAAAATTTTGGTGTCAGATAAATAATTGTTGTTTATTCTTGGACGACTTTAAAAAAAGAAAAAGAGAAGGAACATTCGGTTGTATGTTTTTTTGTATGTTGCGCGATAGATTCATACCGATTTTGTTGATTCTTTTTTATTGATTAGGTACTTCAGGGTCCTATATCCACTTGCAGTAAAAATACCACCCTTCAGGGTGGCGAAACAGGAATTTATTTTAAGACTAAATTGACAAGAGAAAATTTTTACTTTTAATAAAAAGTGAAAGCCGACTTCAAAAACCTACCAAAAATAAGGTACATAATTTCACATTCTGAAGTCAGTGCAAGGCATATTCTGTCACCCGAGAAGCGGTTCTTACTTAAGTTATTTTTTTAATGAATGCAAAATACATAAAATAATATTAATTCACAAATATGTTGTACAATCGTATAATTTTTAACATATAAAAAGTTTAATTTATGGCTGTCAGATGATCTTAACAACTTACTGGTCCTCCAAACTCGTATCCCAACTCCAAAGCAACCAACTGCGCCACTGTGTCGCCGCCGTCCACTTCCACGGTCCATTCGTTGATAAATCCTTTTGCTGTCTCAAAACCGTTGTGCACTCCATGATAACTATGCTCCACTGGCACCCAAGTATCGTAAGTTGAAAATGACGTCGCAAACTGTATTCTATTATAGATTATAAAAATAATAATTTGCACGAGAGACATTCGCGAAATCTTTAAAATACTGCAATTTTATTAATTTTAAAAAGATATTTAATTGTGATATCCTAAAATAAGTGTAATCAACCTTTTACTTTTAGGTTGAATGTCCGAAAAAAGTTTTTTCGAATGGAAAAGCAGGAGACACGATTGAGTCCGAACGAGCGTCGCGTTTAAATGAAAACAAAGGGAAAAATGTTCAACCAAGTAAATGCGTTATATTATCGACTCGAACTTTAATTACCTGAATTCTATTTTACAAATATTTTGCAAGTATAATTAAAAACATATTATTTAATCTATAGTACGTATCAAAATTATAATTTACGAAAGTTGTTGAGGCAGAAATATTTTTATAAAATTATATCGAGGTCTTTATGCTGCACTATATCCATGTTAAACGTAGTGGTTAACACTTTTTGATATCTAACGAGAAACTACTCTGTTTTAATAAATATCTAATCTTACAATAAACTCATAATAATATTATACGTGGCAGAGCCATGCTGCAGCTATATTAGTAGTATAGTTGTAGCACGAATGGGTCGGCTCGACCGGGGAAGGACCACGCTCTCACAGAATACCAGCGTTAAATAGCATAGTGTTTCGTATGCTGAGTGTTTAGAACCCGAAAGAAAAGAAAAGAGGCATTCTATCTTAGTCCTCACGGCTGACAACGCATCTGCATTTTAATTCGCAACACGAAGATAGATGTAGATGTCTATGGGCCACAGCGACCACTTACGATCAGGTGGACTGTGTGATCGTTTGTCACGTTTATTCTATAAAAAAAAAACATGAAATCCTTACAGCTAAAATTGCCTAACTTCCCCATGAGAGAGATTAAAGGTCTGTATAGATGCGAGATTTAATGTCGGAATAACATTTTGATAAGCCCTGTTCTAGTTGTGTTGATAACATTTTGTAATCTCAGAACTAGACTGGATCCAGAACTAAAGTGTTCCTATGCCTTGTGAGCAGGGGCCTTATTGAAAGGAGAGTCTTTCTGGAAAATCACGTCACTACACGATCTTAAACAAGCTTGATAAACTTTGGCCGAAGTATTTACTTCTTGTTCCCAAAAAATGAAGCTACGTGATCTCTCGTTAGCAAACCATGGTGGATGCAGGACGATGACCTATTATTTCTTTGTACTTACACTTTGTCATTTTTCTTCTTGTAGTGTTCTTGCATTGTAATTGTTTTTTCAAGTGTAAAGAGCACATTTCTGTTTCTTCCAATCACAGTCATTTTATTTCTTATTGTTTTTATTTCCGCCCCATTGCAATTTATCAAACACAGTGAAAAATAGCATGCGGAATAGCGGCAAATCTATCGAACTTTCCTATACAACATAGTATAGTGCCACCAACTTATCTGTTCAGGTGGACAAAATTGGAACTAAAACCGCCATTTTGTAAATGACATTTCGCTGTCAGCTATTATTTATTCTGAGTTATCAGGTGAGTGTTTTTAAAAAGTGTAAATAAATCTTAAAAGTAATGCGCGATAGATTATCCTAAAAGTTTTATCTTTTATGAAAGAAGAGAAACGTGTACAAGTCCCAACTATGCCATTTGAAAACCTGTATGAAAGCGTTGCTGTCGTGACAGGTTAGTATTGCCAGATATGGAAAATTAAAATCACCAAATAATGTACTTGTGAAACAGTAAAAAAATTATCTCAATTTACTGCAATTCATCTAAAGTACCTAACTTTGTAGTTTGTGCTGCTAATGTTCTAATGCCCCAATTAATTGAAGATTCATTTCATGAAATTACACCGGTTCAGTGGAAAAACATTTGTAATCATGTAAAAAAAATTGAAAATGAATAAAAGAAAGCGATTCCAGTGACTCAGGAGATGAATTATTCGAACCAGTAGCTAACGCGGGTACATTTTTCAAAACAGAAATTCCTAGAATTCGGCCGCTTGAACTCGGAGATCACGACCACAATTATTTTTATAAAATATAAATAATATATATAATAACACTAATTCTCACTAATTTTAATATATAAACACGAAATTTGTTTTATTTTATATTATGTGTAATGAATATGTAGTTACATATTTCCTCGGTAAATTTCTTAAATGGCAATAGTAAGCACTCCACTAGCGACGCCGTCAACTGAACAGATAAGTTGGTGGCACTATAAACTCATACAAAATTTGAATTAAAAAGAAATACTCGTAACTTTTTAAATTGTAACATTATTTATGGCCAGCATATTTAAAAAAATGAATATAATAAAATTTTACCTTCAATCCTTAAATATTTTACGTGGTATGGCTATGCTGCAGTTATATTAGTAGTAAAGTTGTAGCACAAATGGGTCGGCTCGACCGGGGAAGGACCGCGCTCTCACAGAATACCAGCGTAAAATAGCAGCCCAGTGCTGCTGTTTCGTATGGTGAATGGAGAGAACTAGAGACCCTTTTTACTGAAAACGAGACATTCCATTTTAGTCCTCACGGGTGACGACGCATTTGCATTTTGATTCGTAATCAAGGATTGATGAGAATGTCTATGGGCCACAGCAATTTACCATCAGCAACCATTTACCTGATGGTAAATGGTTGCTGTGGCCCATAGACATTAGAACTGTGTGCTCGTTTGTCACCCTTATCATATAAAAAAAATCGTTACATTATCAATTTTGGCGTGTGTGGTATATTTAAGTTTTTTATAATATTATGCCTGTTGTGTTATTTTACCAAATATCTATAGAATCATATTTTGTGTCATCATCATCATCATCATTATCATTACAGCCCTTCACAAGTCCACTACTGAACATAGGCCAATTTTGTGTATATGGGTTTAATTTTTTTTAATCCTCCTTTGAATGTTATACATAATAGGTACCGGATTATTGAAAATATCTTCCACGTTTTCAAAGGTCAAAGGGCTTTCGTGTGTATTAACGTTCGTACCTTTCGTACGTTGAATTTTTAAATATAATCATTGAAGTATAATGTACTACGTACGTACTTAGTACATATTGCCCAATGAATATAATGTAGGATAATATGACTCTTTACACCAAATCAATTATCTTCGATTCATAATTGTATGTTGGAATCCTAATTAAGTTTTTATTAAAAGTTGGTTTTGTAGCTTTTTAAACAATAAAGTCTTTAAAAGTTGTCTATAAAATGGTAAGTCGATAATGAGAGCAGACTCTTTGCGCGCATCTCAGACCAGATCATATTTTTATGATCGGAGGCGCCCACACACGTTTTTTAATTTATAAATGTACCTAACTTAAATCTACCTACATTCAGTGCGTGTTGCCAGTGATGACCTAGTATGGTACTGAGACGTGGTCTTTCACTGCTCGCCGGATGAGGAAGCTCATACAACTAGTGCGTGTTGCTAGTGATGACCTAGTATGATACTGAGACGTGGTCTTTCACTGCTCGCCGGATGAGGAAGCTCAAGGTCGCTCGGCGAGCTATGGAGAGGGCTATGCTCGGAGTTTCTCTGCGTGATAAACTTAGAAATGAGGATATCCGCAGTAGAACCAGAGTGACCGACATAGCCCAACGGATCAGTAAGCTGAAGTGGCAATGGGCCGGCCATATAGCTCGAAGAACCGACAACCGTTGGGGAAAAAAAGTTCTCGAGTGGCGGCCTCGTACCGGCGGACGAAGTGTAGCGCGTCCCCCCACTAGATGGAGTGACGACCTGGTAAGATATGCAGAAAGTCGATGGATGCAGGTGGCTCAGGACCGTGCTTTGTGGCATTCTTTGGGGGAGGCCTATGTTCAGCAGTGGACTTGTGAAGGGCTGTAATGATGATAATGATGAAATGTACCTAATATGTATTTCATTGTCTAGTTTAGTAACTGGGTTCAAATTTCAAGTGAAATTAACTTTGCTATTGTGACACAATTCTGGTATCCATCCATCCATCCATTACTACTAAACATAGGCTTTCCTCATAGATTGCCTAATAGGGAGATTTTGGCATAGTTGCCACGCTTAGCCAGCGGGTTGGCAACCGCATTTTTATATTATTTTGGGTTGTTATTAGGAAGATGGCCATCTCCTCTTTCATTTTCCCTCTGACGCCTCTTACGACACCCTCGGGACTATATAAGGCAGTGGATATTGTTCACAGCACGGTTAAATTATATATAGGGTTATTTTTACAAGAGTAGTAAATTTTTTAACTTAAGTTCAAATATACAAATAATGACATACCGTTATTGCAGTTTTAATAATACGAGTAAGCAAGGCTCCTACTTTTATTTGAAATTATCTCAAATTGAATGTGATTTATGTGCAACAACGTTTTTGCCTACCGATCAACACTTACGAATGTGTACTACGATAAAAAGAACACAATGTTTGAGATTTTTTTAATTAATAGTTTTTTTATAGAATAGGGTGACAAACGAGCACACAGTTCACCTGATGGTAAGTGGCTGCTGTGACCCATAGACATCTACATATATCCTCAATATAGAATCAAAATGCAAATGAGTTGTCACCCGTGAGGGCTAAGATGGAATGCCTCGTTTCCAGTAAAAGGGTTCTCCGGTTCTCTACACTACACTCTACACGAAACACAGCAGCATTAAGCTGCTATAAAGTTCTTTACCATTTGCCTATATTAATTATTCTGAACATCTTCTCTTCTCAAATTTGGTAGAAAATATATAAATATATACAGGGTTATTTTGCAATATATATATTGTGTTCATATATAATATATTATGTTTTGACATTAGTCAACGGTTTTTATCTAATTTTGACTTATGGCTCAGTGCATAAATTGCTTGGTTGTAATAAAATAAACATAAAACATCTCGTCATTACTGCAGGAAGTCTGCACAGGACTTACTTTCTGTGTGACCTTTGAGAACGTGCAATGGGTGACGCTCTTCTCAGCTATCTATAAGGTTAAAATTTGATATTTAGAAATGTCATTAGACATCTGACTTGTCTGTTGGTTTTCATCAATATCTGTAATTTCCTCATAGAGTCAACTCATTTA